CACTGTGTCACACGCTACCAACTCATCATCAACCTACTACCCAGGGAAGCAATCACAGAATCTTCCTCCTGGTAATTTTAGGGGAATGGGCTTTTTGGGCAAACTGTTATCAAGTGCTGTCTTTGCCTTTCTTACACTTAGGTGGGTTGCTGAATCTGCTGAGGGTTTGTGCTGTTTATCTATTTTTTCCCTTCCTTCTCATTTCCTCCCCTTGGTGCAGCCATGTGAGAAGAGAGGGTGATAGTGAACCAGTGGCTGTTCATTGAGAGTTTGGGGATAAGTGTACTTGTATTTTAACGCGAGTGTGGAGTCCTATGAGACGTAAAGTTAATGAACAACTGTCCAGCAGTTCTATCTCAACTCACTTGCATTCTTCCTATTGACCCTTCCTTGGGGCAGGAGCATCTGATGCAGTGGGAATTTCAGTGGGTCCTCCAACAATCACGTGTGAGCTGTACAGACCCACTTACAGGCACATGTCTCCTGCCTCTGCCACCCCTGAGACAGCCAATCTGGCCTGTCCATTTCCTCCTCCCCCGTCTACTCAACACGAAGATAACGAAGATGAAAACAAGATGATCCGCTTGCACCGAATGAACAGTCAACCGATTTTTGGCTTTCTTAATAACATTTCCTCTTCTCTAGCTCACTTTATGGGAAGAGTTCAGAATACAATTCAGGCGACATACAAAGTACGGGTTAGTCGACCGTGTTATCAGTGAGGTGTCAGTCAACAGTAGGCTGGCAGGAGTTAAGTTTCTGGGGAGTCAGAAGTCATACATGGATTTCTGGCTGCACGTGGGTTGGCACAGCACCTCTTGTGTTGTTCAAGGGTCAACTGCGCACAGTTTCATCGGCAAATGTGAACTATATAATGAGGGAATTCTCAGATTTCAAGGAAGCAATACAGGGAAAATTAAGCAACTGTAGTGGAGATGGGATTCTCTGGGGCTCAGGGACGATGCCCGGTGAATAAACAATAATGTGGTTTGGACAAGGATGTGTTCTCAATGTCAGAGGTTCCCCAGCACTCCTGCTAGTTTGTGATGAAGTGTTCCCTATTTCATATAAAATGAGAAAAATAAGGCAAATGTTTGGAGTTTTTGTAAAAGTCAAACATTCATTTAGAGACTTTATTTGGAACTCTATTATTTTTTTTTTTTGCATGTTAAAAACACCACTTTCAAAAGAAGGGCATTAGCAGATAGTTCTTTTTTCGAATACCCTCACTTTGTAAAATGTAAAAAGCCAACTTCATCTTAGGTCTATTAAAAATTTTTTTAAAATATTTTATTTTAAAGATGTGAGGTATAATATAGGATTGGGTATACAAGTGGACATCGTACAGGTAAAGTTTGGGCCTCCCTTTGGTCCCCACTTGGCCTGGTTTGAGATCAGGTACCCTTCTTGATGTTGTGTCCTCCCCCCCCATTTAAAAAATATTCTCCCTGGTCTAATAAGTGCTGACATTAGGGAATTAGGACTACGTGGCCTTACTGTATGTCAACATGGTCTGACCCACATTCCTCATCTACTTCCCCAGGAAAGTTGGTGTGGGTGAACAGGAGAGGATCCTGATGGTAACGCTTTTCAGCCTCTGCCTTTCCTGGCTGAAGAAACCAGTTGGTGAACATGGGGATGAATCAGCGGCCTCGTCACCCGCTCCATGACTACAGCTTACTTCTCACGTCGAGTTAGACTTCTCTTGCTTCCTACAAACAGTCCAGAAGGAATGTGTTCACTTGCTTACGTCACAGCCCAGAGCTAAATGTGGACTTTAACTGATGACCATCCGCATGAAACAGCATTTGTTCAGCGTACACTGGCGCACAACCATTTCTCTGGCGAGCTGTACATGCTTCCAGCTGAATGGAACGCCCAATGACAACGAGCTTTGAGTGCGTCTTAGAAAATAACATAAACGCTGCCTCTTGTCCTACTAGTTTTCAAGGGCTTTAAAAGTGCCTTTTCTTTAAAAATAAATAAAACTGCATATATTTTTAAAAGAGTTCATCAAACTTACAAAGATGCGACCTTTCTTAAATAAAGCCATTTCTTTTTTTTTTTCGCATTGGAGTCTCACTCTGTCGCCCAGACTGGAGTGCAGTGGCTGCTCCCGGGCACCGCAGCCTCGCCTGCTGGGCTCCGGCGATCCTTCCGCCTCAGCCTTCCGAGTAGCCGGAATTACAGGCGCGCGCTACCACGCCCGGCTGATTTTTTGATTTATTGTAGAGATGAGGTCTCGCTGCCCAGGCGGGTCTCGAACCCGCGGGCTCAGGCAATCCACTCACCTCAGCCTCCCAAAGGCGGGGGATGACAGACTGAGCCACCGAGCCTGGCTTAAAGCCATTTCTTAATCAAGGGTTCTAACTTCATGAAGACGGTTAAAACAAAGACTAGTTAAAAAAAAAAGTTTAAAAATGAAGAGAAAAAATTTGTCATAAAACAGACATTTTTATGGCTGTTTTGCAACAGCCTTTACAAATATACAAGCTTTACAAACACATGCAGAAAAGTTATTTTTCAAGAATTATATACTTTCAAGTCCACACGTCCAAAATGTCATGAGGTGCAGCTTACTCAGTAGACACTTTAAATGGCTTTTCTAGTTCCAGCAACACTCAAACGAACCCCAACAAAAAACTTCTGACAAACTTTGGGAACTCACAGTCCCCTAATCTTTAATTACAAGCACAAAGCAGTAAAAGACATGATGAGGAATTACACCCGACCTTATGGCAAGTTAAAAATAGCATCTACGTGTGTCTGAGAAGAGTCCATGGAAAAGTCCCTATTATAGTAACCACATGATGTCCGATCATTTTAATTCATTCTTGCACCCATGGCTGGATAGAAACCCGTGCAATGAAAGAATAAAAATGAAGGGGCCCATGTGATGAGAAACACGTCAGTGAGATACAGCATTCAGGCAACAGCATGTTCTTTTTGGTTATTTTGATTAGGTTTTCTTTTTCAGTCAAATTGGGCCTGTTCTTTAGTCAAATCTGCCAACAGACAGACACACAGTCAATAATGAAGTGGAAAAGGAAAAAGAATGAATTGATGTCTATTACAATTCAACGGCATTATTCAGTCACAGTCATTCTATAGCTTGATTTCATGGACAGTGAAGATTTTCTTTCTCTCTTTAATTTTTTTATTTTAAAGATGTGGGGTACAATTCAGGGTTAGGTGTACAAATGTTCATTATGCAGGTACTCTGGTTGATGAGGTGTGTCCCCCTCTCCCCTGGCAGATTCCCACTACTGCCAATCCTGCTTCCCCCACCCCCGGCAGTTTCCTACTATTTCCAATCCTTTTCTTATAGTATTATGATAATTGTTCAAGGTCTGCTTATGAGTGAGAACATGTGATACTCAGTCCTTTGTTTCTGTGATATATCACTCAGTATCACAGACTCTAAGTCCATCCAGGTTGCTGCGAAGTTCATGGTTTTGTCCTTCTTTACGGCTACATAATATTCCGAGACAACTTTAGAACTGGTTAACAGACTTTTTAAAGGAAAAAGATGAATTTAGCATAAAGGTATTTAAAACCTAAACTATTCATTTTGGATTTCTTCAATAACCTATCTGTGGGAGAAAAGGCTTCAGAATTATTTCAAAAAGTACAGAATTGTTAGTGGCAGCCATCAGTTCTAAAAAATGCCCATTAGAGGGGGAAAGAAGAAAGAGGATGAAATATAAAAATTATAAAGTAATATCAAGCATATAAATTATCCTTAGAACATTCCAAGCCAGGCACGGTGGCTCACACCTGTCATCTCAGCACTTTGGAAGGCTGAGGTTAGAGGACTGCCTGAGTCCAGGGAGATTTGAGATCAGCCTAAGCAACTTGGCGAGACCTCGTCTCTACAATAAATCAACAAACTAGCCGGGCGTGGTGGCGCAGGTCTGTGGTTCCAGCTACTTGGAAGGCTGAGGTGGAAGGATTGCCTGAGCCTAGCAGGCTGAGGCTGTGGTGGCCGTGTGTGTGCCACTATACTCCAGCCTGGGTTACAGTAAGATTCCGACTCAAAAAACAAACAAACAAAAAAAACAACAAAAAAACAACATTCCAGGCACCATTGTAAATGCTTGACACCCATTTAATCCTCACAATCACACTGAGGTAGGACAGCTGACGACATCCATTTTGCGGGGAAGGCCTGTGAGTCACAGAGCCCACAAGTAACCTGCAGGCGGACACGAGAACATGATGAGCCAGGGAGCATCAGCTCCAAATGGCAGAAAGGGACACTAGTAACTTGCAGGGCACTGGGCATTTATTAACTGGCAAAGGTGCTGAGATTTCACCCAAGTAGGAAGATTCAGACCGCAAAGCCTTAGGGAAGAGGAGCATCAAAATGAAGTTTCTCAACAGCCCTGAAGAGGGACATGTTTTCTGTGGTCCCTAAAAACCTTGCGCAGAGACAAATGATTGATCCTATCCCAAAATGAACAGGGCAGGGTGAGAGTCTGTTCTGTTCCCTAGAGGGAATTCCACTCCTTGACACAGTGCGCGACATGGGTGAGGGCACCCTGCACACTCTCACACTTAGTATCTCATCACAGTCATCACATCTCACAACAGAGATCACACTTAACAACTCATTGTTTAACACCTCTTTCTCCACATGCTGTAAGCTCTGTTCATTTCCTGGGCGCTTACTATGTAGCGGGCAGGTACCGTTCTAGGCGCCTGAACATGTCTGTCAAAATAAAGACCCTTACCCTTTGCTTATTTAGCTTTGTACCCCTGACACCTAGCAGTATATCTTAGTTCTCAATAAATGTTCACTGAACAAGTTAATGGATCAATCAGCAGGGGCAGGTAGAGGAAAAGGAAAAAAAAAAAAAACTACAAAGAAAAGGAGATATTTGGGGGTCATGTATTAGCCAGCAGATTTTTATTAAAGTCTTAACATGCTTGTGATTCATAAGGATGATTGTTTTATTATTCAACTCATCTTTAAATGCAAGCGTGCCACCAGATATATTTCAATTCCAAAAGTGATCCAGTTCTGAAAGAGGATGTGTGTTTCAGGACGCAGTACCTGCTTTGTTGTTAGACTGTTTTTTTGTGTGTCAGATTATATTCCCCAGAGCGCAGCCTGTATTTGTGTTCATTGCTTTCTAAAAGGTGACTTTCCAAGGCGAGTTTTCTCCCAGTAATTAGAGGCATCTATCTTCAAGCTCATTTGTTTGTAGCAGTGAGGCTACAGGCCGCCATTCGTGTTGTTATTGACTCCCTCAATTAGAGGCAATGGCATTTCACCTTCACGCAAAATAATAGTAAATTAACAATCCCCACTTCGCATTCATTTGCGAAATCTGCTCTGCTTGTGATGACAAATGTGACAAGCAGGGAGTAATCAGAACACACTCTGGCAATACCTTTGAGCCTTGCAAGCCTCATAGAGCTATGGCCCTGCACCTTATAGTTGAGGTTTGGTGTGTAAATTTCTTTGTTCATGACGCCATGTGGAAGTCAGCATTGATAATTGGCAAGAAAAACAAACAACCCCAACAAAAAAAGAAAAAGCCACAGAAACATCCATTCTCATTTCCCTGAATCTCTCCTATTACCCAATGTCTAGTTTGGACGGAAAAATGAACTCTGGTATTGTGAACAATTTCAGATCACATTTACAACTCTCTCTCATGATCACTTTGACTTAAAGAGCAAATTGTATTAAACATTTCTTTAGAGTGCTAAAAAGACTGCAAAGACATTTATTATTTAAATGTCATGACTGTCTCTTTCAGGCCTAAGGACATCTTAGTTTTAACCCATGAGTGGTTAGGTCACCAGAGCTCTGTGGATGGGCTTCAGTTGATTTACCTAAAATGTGTGAGAAATGCCTTATGTACGTTTTATCGTGATGAGCATGCCTCACTTTCATCTGATTCTCTGTGGAGACTTGCAACTCCATTAGGCAAGAATCTTTGGTCTGGTGGGAAGGGCCCAAGGACTAAGAGGGTTCTGTGAGGTCTGTCCCTGTCCAGTTGTCAAGGAGCTGCTGTGGTTTCAGTGCCCTCTTGCATAAAGTGCTTTCTTCAGATGATCTATTCTCCTCTGCGTCTTCTGTGCTTTAATACTGGAATCTGAGGTTGTGCAGACTGTACATTTAGCTGAAACTCCACCTCCAGTGTTCCAGATTCTAAAAACTGTATTAACTAACAATTCAATGTCATCCTTCAGTGGCACACTGAATATCACTAACCACAAAACCAGCTAAACATTTAGGAAAGCATGACTATTTGCATCAGATCAAAAGGAGCAGAAAGGTAGACACCTCCCATTTCGATGTTACTGCTTTTTTTTTTTATGATGAGTCAAACCCTTAGGAAACTGTTCTTGTGAAGTCAGAATCTCATTTCTGAGTTAGCACATTCTGATAAACACACCTTAACTTACAATTAAATCTATTATAACACCATGCCAACTATGTGTTTATAAGTTTGTTCACTGTGTTAGGTTTTCAAAGACAGTAGCAGAGTTGAGAAACTGAGCAAGCACTCCTTAAAATTACCCAAATAGTTTCTCCAAAATACTTGTTTACTTGGGAGCTATAGAATTCTGCCCAAGATTAAAATGCATCATCTTTTGTAAAACCCAATTAAACTAAGATGAAAGTTGTTTTTTCTTTCTAAATCATGATGGCTTAAAAAGCCAAATCGGGTCAAAATGGTAGTTCTCCCCCACACACACACATTGGTTCTGCATCCAAAAAGAAAAGCCACTCCAGGTAAAGAGGATTTCCAAGTGAGGCCATGGGTTATAAGCCTGAACGAACATTCTCATCCTGGACAGGCAGCAGTAGAATGAACTTACCGTCATGATGAGCCCCTTTTCCTGGAAGTATTTAACCAGGGGAGCAGCATTCTGCTTGAAGTTCATTAGTCTCCTTTGGGTAGCTTTTAGGTTGTCGTCTGGACGCCCCTGCTGTTCTGCACGCTTCAGTAATCTTTCTTTGAGCCTCTGATTAGCACAAGCCAGGAATACCACCAAGTCGGGAGTGCAGATCTGTGGAGACCAGGAGCGAGGACAGGGCATTCAACACACCGATCACACAAAGGCAATGCAGTTTGTTGCTGAGTTTGGGACAAGGCAATATGGCACTTTGCACAATGGTTTGAAGATACAATTGCCAACATTTTTTCATTGTATCTTCCCATGAGTAAATTTTTGGAGCATGCACCACAATAACAGATGCTTATTAGTGTATAAATTATGCATGTATTCCTATGCTATTATAGAATGCACATTGCTTTGTGCACCCTGGAGATCACTACTTAGAAAATGGATTTTGGAAGCCGACAAAGACCAACTCTGGGGAAAAGAAACCATATTTAGCAAATGGTTCTAGGAAAACTGGCTAGTCACATGTAGAAGAATGAAACTGGACCCCTATCTTTCACCATATGTAAAAATTAACTTAAAACGGATCAGAGACTTAAATGTGAAACCCAAACTATGAGACTCTTAGAAGAATACTTAGGGAACACACTCCTGGACATCAGAGTAGGCAATGAATTCATAACCAAGGCCTCAAAAGCAAATGCAGTAAAAGCTAAAATTGACAGGTGGGATCTTATCAAGCTAGGAAGTTTTTTCACAGCAAAAGAAACCATTAAGAGAGTAAAGAGACAACACGTGGAATAGAAAAAAAAACATATATTTGCAAGCTATGCATCGACAAAGACCTATTATGCAAGACCTGCAAGAAACTCAAAAGAATCAACAGGAAGACACAAATAACTCTATTAAAAAGTGGGCAAAGAATGTGAACAGACACTTTTCAAAGGAAGACATCTAAACAGCCAATAAACATGTTTAAAAAATACTCAGCTTTACATCAGAAGAATACAAATCAAAACTACAATGAGATACAGCCTCATACTGATCAGAATAGGTATCATTAAAAGTAAAAAACAAACAAACAAAAAACAGGTGTTGGTAAGGCTTCTACACCATTGGTGGGAATGTAACCTAGTTCAGCTTCTGTGGAAAGCAGAGTGACATTATCTCAAAGAACTAAAAATTGAGCTACCATACAATCCAGCAATCCCACTTCTGGGAATATACCCAAAGAAGCATAAATCACTCTACCAAAAAGACACCTGCACACAAACAAGGGGAAACCCTCAAAAACCCAGAATTATCTTTTGGAAGGTGGGTAAGTGTTCTAGGAACCCATTGACCTCAGTGTGCCAGCTAGTGTTGTTGTAAGGGGCTATGTCCAGCTTCAGTAAGTTTTTTTGGAGATTATCTCAACGCGTTGGCCCATTTTATGATGGGTAACTTACGAGCGCACCTGCCCACGCCACACTGAGTCTTCAGCAGTCTTGGACCAATAATGGCATGATCCCTGTGTCCCACTTGCCCTCTTCACCTGATTTTGTCCCAATTGACTTTTCTGTTTCCCCAGATTGAAAAAGCCCTCCAAGGGAAACATTTCTACCCACGAAGAAGAGGTGAAACAAAAAAATGACAGGAGCACTAAAAGGCACCAAAATTAACAAGTTCAAAAACTGGTTTAAGTAATGAAAAAAGTGTCTCAGTAGGTGTATTGCATCAAGCGAAGAGGACTTTGAAGGTGACTGAAGTTTAAACATGTAAGAATATAAAATTTTTTTTTTTTTCGAGTCGGAGTCTTACTCTGTCGCCCAGACTGGAGCGCAGCGGCCGCTCCTGGCCACCGCAGCCTCAATCTGCTGGGCTCCGGTGATCCTTTCGCC